ATTTAACCTTCCTATAGAGATCTTTTTTTTATATGTGGGTGACATTAGATTGACATATATATATATATAATTTGATAGTTACCAACAAACAATTACACTAAAATGAAAGCAAGGCTATAATCTAAATTCGATGTTTACATCAAATGCTTCTTCTTGCTTTCTTTTCTTTTGACATTTAGAGTTTTGGTAGAAAAATTATGGACGATAAACAAATTATTTGAGATAAAAGTATATGTATTTTTATTACTTTGTTATTTTACGGGTTGCTTAAATCACCCAACCCTACTTTTTAATGGTTAAAATTAATCGAATCAAACCAATTTTTTGGTCCAAACCAACCCAAACCGATCCTACTCCGTTTGGTTTGATTGGTTTTTAGGTTTTTTTGCCAACCCATAGTGGTGATCGTTTGAGATAAACCGCGATATTTCCATTTATTATTATTATTATTATTATTTTTTAGATTCTTATATTTTTGCCTCAATTTAGCAATCATTTATAAATGGTCCAACTTTATCTTTAATTACACATATTAATGGAACCACTTATCCACTCTATATTTTTATTTACTTATAAATTAAGCCATTTATAAATTATTCCCAAATAGAAGCATTATTTAATTAAATTGAGCGGGGTACAATGGTCTTCATAATTTTAATTTTAATTTTTTAATTAATTAATTAATTTTTTATTATTTTTATTTTTTATTTTTTTAACGGTGATGGTTTCGTCATGACGACGTCCATCACAAACATTTTATAGGTTGGGACCTGATGTGTTAGAAATTAAAAGTTTACAAAATCAGTTATTCGAGACTTGGTGACCCAAGTGCTATTTTACCCTAAAAATTGTTGTCGGAAATTCGACTAACGCAATCAAAAGAATAAATAAAATAAGCAGAAAAATAGAAAACAGTAAATAAAGCGAGGTATGCCAATAAAATAAGCAAATCTCCTTAAGACAGATTTCGCCCCCCAATGAAGTGCAAACGGGATTATGGACGTCTGTCTCCCAAAATACAACGCTCCTTCCAAAGTCGATACTGCACAATACCAACCTTATCGGTCGAACCAATGAATGATTGTACTCGAACGGAATAACCACGGAAATATAAGAGAATTTTTAGAGCAGAATATGAAGAAAGAAGAATTTAGAAATCAATTGAATTCGTAATTGATTTGCTGTGTCAAAAACGAATCTGGGGGTCTCTATTTATAGAGATTGAAGTGTCTCATGGAATAGGTGTGTGACATTTCAGGAACTGGTGCACCACTTGGTCTAATTCGTCTTAGCTATTGGATCGCACTATTTTCATGATCTGACGGCCCAGATTGAACCATGAAGTGAAGCGTCCATTCATCATGTCTATTCACTAATTTCTGAACAGTCATAACCATGCGAATACCACGTGTACATCTAACCGCCACGCAGGACGAAGGGACGCGACCTACCACTCGTGCACCACCTAGAATGCCAACTTACCAAGCATTGTGCTGCCACGTCATCGAACCACAAGTCCATTTTCGAAAACTATAAGGCTCCCCAGCTCCTCACGACGATGCGTACGTGCGAAGTGCGCCTCTAAAGCGCCCAATGCAACTTTGCGACATGCGTGTGCCGGGACCGAGACCGGGGAGCAGCGCCTTTGGCTAGCCAAAGTTAGTCAAGTGATTGGTAACTTATTAAATTATATATTATTCACACAACCCATTATATAAACAAGACTATTTTCTTGTAAACTTTCGATGTGGGACTCCTTTCCATATAAAAAACACTTCAAATGTGCTTATCAACATATGGGCCTATATTGGAGACTTTTCCAATTCACCCAAATTAATTGCAATGGCTCACATCATTAAATATTACATTTAATGTTTTAAACCCAAATTAAATTCAATTAATTCCAACAAAATTAAGACACAATAAAGTTAACTTGTTTACATTTGTATCAAATTCGTATGACTGATATTGAAGATAACACTATAGGCAATTTTCGACACGATTTATTAAAATTTAAGTTTTTTCTAAAACTTATTTCCGATCATACCTTTTCCATTAAATTAATTTTGTACGTAAATTTAAAAAAATTTCTTCACACATTCTTCAAAATAATTATTTTTCACAAAATTTATTCAAGAAAATGTCTATCAAAGATGGGCTTAATTTTATATAATGTTAATAATAGAGTTACATGTTACAGTTGTTTGGATTGATTTCGTTTTTTTCAACTTATTTCATGAAAATCTCAATTATCTCTCTCATCATTTTTGTTGCAATATGATCACTGAATTTCAATTTAAATTTTTTTTAAAAAAAATCACTTCCTTAGTTTCATTATTAAAATTAACCTTAGATTTATATGTGAACGGTAAATTTATTATTATTATTATTATTATTATTGTTGTTGTTGTTGTTGTTGTTGTTGTTGTTGTTTTTTTCACTTTTCCATACACAAAATCTGGAATAGTTTAATCAGAACACATCAATGGGCTATAAAATTTAATATCCACATAGAAATGCGAAGTTAAGTTTATTAATAAGGGTTAAAGGATTAATTGTTTTGGAATTGAATTAAAGGATTTATTATTATTATTATTATTATTATTTTTTGATTGCAACAAATTGAGGGTAGAGATCCAATTGAAAATTCTATGAAAGTTGAGTAATTTATCGACGACTAATGGGACCATAATGAAATGAAGATATGAATTTACCATTAATTAATATTTATTTAATTTTTAAAAGAAAATAAAATGAATTACAAATTAAACCCAATAGTTTATATTTAAGACTTTTGCTTGAAACCATAAGTACAGGGAATTCTTAGGTTTGTAGGTTGAATTAAAATGAGGAAAAAGACATACTTCCAAGAAATTCTTGACAGAACACTAACATGGTCACGGATGATTGGATTTTCTTTTCATTTTTCAATTAATTTCCGCCATACACTGTCTGTTAAAATTTTAAGTACTTATTAGAAATGACAATTTATCCTGCCCCAACAGGGGCGAGGTGGGATTGCCCCGCCCCGAACCTGCCCCGTGAATATTAGTATTTTTTTGGATAGTGTTTCTTCGAATATTGATGTTAATTTGAGCATTATTTGTTTTGAATTTTGAATTTTGAATTTGTATTTTATAATTTAATAGTATAACTTGAAATTTTGAAAATGTGTAAAAACAAAAAATGGGTTAATTATGCCAATAGTCACTGAACTTTGCAAAAGGTTTCCAAGGGCCACTGAACTTTAAAAATCACCTAAATGGTCACTGAACTTTGCATAAGTTTCCCAGAAGTCACTGAACTTTTCAACCCGTAAACCACCTTAGAGTTACCATTTATGGACCACCAAAATCCACCCTCCGGCCACCTTGGCCACTGGATCGACATACCACCTTGAAGCTCTCGCTTCTCTCTTCGCAACCCACCCAAGCTCCGGCCATAATACCAACCGGTTTGGCTGAAAATTCAAGCCAAAATGGGATGATCAAGCACAAAAATGGCCGGAAGTGTTAAAGTTACCACTTTTGGACCATCTAAACTCCACCTTCCAGCCACCTTGGCCGTCGGACCGACATATCACCTTGAAGCCCTCACTTCCCTCTTCGCAACCCATCCAAGCTCCGGCTATAACACCAACCGATTTGGTCAAAAATTCAAGCCAAAATGAGCAGCCGAAAGCACAAAAAATGGCCGAAATCTTCTTTTTTTAATGTTCCAGGTTGCCCATTTTGGCTTGGATTTTCGGCCGCATCGGTTGGTGTTATAACCGGAGCTTGGGTGGGTTGCGAAGAGGGAAGTGAGGGTTTAAAGTAGTATGTCGGTCCGGCGGCCAAGGTGGCCGAAGGGTAGAGTTTTGGTGGTCCAAAAGTGGTGACTCTAACACTTTCGGCCATTTTTTGTGCTTGGTTATCCCATTTTGGCTTGAATTTTCGGTCAAATCGGTTGGTATTATGGCCGAAGCTTGGGTGGGTTGCGAAGAGGGAAGTGAGGGCTTCAAGGTGGTATGTCGATCCGGCGGCCAAGGTGGCTAAAGGGTGAATTTTGGTGGTCCATAAGTGGTGGCTCTAAGGTGGTTTAGGGGTTGGAAAATTCATTAACTTCTAGGAAACTTTTTGCAAAGTTCAGTGACTATTTAGGTGATTTTTAAAATTTAGTGACTTTTAAAAAACATTCTGCAAAGTTCATTGATCATTTAAGTGATTTTTAAAGGTCAGTGACTCCTTGAAAACATTTTGCAAAGTTCAATGACTATTTGCGTAATTAACCCAAAAAAATTAGATGGGACATTAAACGGGGCAAAAAATTGCCGCGACCTTGCTTGGCCCGCCCCGCCCCGGGCAAGACGGGGGCCATCACTAGTACTTATAGCAAATGGGGCGGGGCGGGGCGAGGAGGGGTGGGGCGGGGGCATCACTAGTACTTATAGCAAATGGGGCGGGGCGGGGCGAGGAGGGGTGGGGCGGGGGCATCACTAGTACTTATAGCATGATTGTTAAAATAAATGAATTGGGTGTTAATTATCTCATTTGTCATTTAACACTTAAATATTTCCCAATTTTCATTAAACTTTAAAAGTTGTTCAAGTTGTCACTAACTTTTCCAAGCGTTTCCAATCACCATTTTACTTTAAAACTTATCCAATTGCCAATGAACTTATCAAAATATTATCTCATCCTCCATTCCATCACTCATCATTTTAAAAGTTAACAAACTAAATGAAATTATGTGTCAACGTGATGGATGAGATGACATTTTGATAATATAAATAGTCTGTTAACTTCTAAAACGAAGAATGACGAATGTAATATTTTAGTAAGTTCAACGACAACACCGTTACGAACCAAACTTTATTTTCTGAACAAAGAATTGAAAATTGGTAGTTGGAGGGGCCAAAACCTCCAAATAATACAAGCTATTGCTTAGGAATCAAATTTTTATTCTTTATTATTATATTATTAAAAGTAAGCAAATAAAATAAATAGTAATCTTCCAAAACAAGCACAGAAAAAGGCACTGGCATTGATTTGAGGCTCATCTTGAAAAGGCCAAAAGTCCCAGGAGAGAGATTATAATCAATTAGGGGTCAACAGAATTTACACAAGTCTAAACAAAACAAGGAAAAACAACAGAGGTAGGGTGAAAGATCTGCCCACAACATAATGTACCTTAAACTTCTCTTTCTTGGGATTAGCCTTCCAGTTATAGAAGTTACAATAAAGGGCAGCTCTTTCTTCAAGCTACCTGACATGTATTCGTTTTCAGGAAAAGTAAAACAGACCACAACATCATCAAGTAGTACCAGCTTCTGGCACAAGGGTATTGTGGGGAAGATTGATACCACCCCCTTTCACCGATACGTTAGGACTCCGGATTGTACTAGCCCTGCTCACAAGATGTGAGTCGAGAAACACCACGATAACCGATATATCATCATGAAAATGACGACGAACTCCTCGATCGATTTTCTTCAAGTCCGAGTACCTCATCTCCCTCTTCTTTGCCGCTTCTTGCAATGCTGCTTTCACTAATCTTCTAGCACTCCCCTGCAAAGTAAAAATATTAAGGATAACATTTATAGAGATATGATCTCAAACAAAAAATAAAAAAATAAAAAATTATTCCTCTTATTTGCTTTTTTCTAATTCGAAAACCAGCAAAGCAGAAAAGGCCTCTTCCCAAGCTTGGAGATACGAAGGAATAAAATTTGTCCATTCCCATATTAAAACCATTTAATTTGGATTAGGAACCGCATAAAAATGTACATACATGAAACACAAAGATTTACCTTGGTACACTCTCAATGAGAGAACTACGTCAAGTCGTCAACTCGATGCTACAGATTTTCACTATAATGAAGACAGAGAAGATTCTCTTCTTCACACCTATCTATCTAATCTAGTAGGAAAACAACTCCCACCCCAATCTCCATTATATACATAAATATGAATGTCCAATATATACTTATTAAGTTGATCGGCAGTCAAGGGACTGAACTCTCAGCACTCTCCAACAAAGTACCCCTGCTACTGGCAGCAACTTCACCAACAAAGAGTGCTTCTATGTTATAATTAGCAATCTAATTGACCTTCACAGATTTACAAGAACAACAAAAAGGACCTACAAACACAATGAACACCCAAAACCAGTCTGACGATCACTATTCTTAATTATATCCTCGACCATGTTGCTTCACAGACTTCAAAATCAGAAAGGTTATTAGATTTAGAGCATCAAATATCTTACATTGCGTGGATGATTTTGGACAAGATCAACTGCTTCCTGGTCGGTAAATTGCTCCCATAGGCCGTCTGACGCAAATATAACAAACTGATCGTGAGGTAGCAATTGGTGGACAGATATTGATGGTTCTGAGCTCAAAATTGGTCTTTTGAAAGGTTCACAAAGTCGAAACTTTGCATATAATGGCTCCCTGTTGAATTCAGCCTTTTTCAAGTACACATCACCAATGGATCTTGAAATCTGTAAGACAAGAGATCAGACTACTACAAACATAAAATCACACTTTAGATGTATCATAGCATAATGAAATTATACAAAACATTTTACATAGATGAAGTTATCGAGTATATGATTTTGTTTTTGAAAAATAAAAAATAAATAAATAATTACATATATATTTTTTGTTTATTTATTTATTTATTTTTCTCTTCGTGTGGATATTGGGGGGAGAGAGGGCTAAATAATGCTTATAGCTTTATAATCAGAACTTCACAGACCACCCACGAGAAGCATATTTTTCAGCCAAATATTTCTACCAAGTAACAATCTTTACATTTTTTAAAGCTTTTTATGCCTTGGTTTATCATATTTACCCATGTTAAAAATTAGAGGTCTTACAGGAACAAATACAAATGAACTGAAATAGATCCGGAAAAAGAGTTTCTGTACCCCTCCCCCTCCAACCCCCTAGAAGATGAAAAGTCTCTCTTCTACATTCGAGTGAACTTCTTACATTAACTCTTCTAACAAATTCAACTTCACTAATTTTTTAATTACAATAGTATTTTTTACCGAAGTAAGATTTTTTTAGCAACTATGATACACAGGTAGAAAGCAAAAATCTAAAAGTATCGTGGTTTCAATCCTATCAAGCTTACAAATCAACCATTACACCATACTGGCATAGCATTATCCTTTCTGCGAATAGCAAAGAACAATACCAACTGTAATAAATGTTGGAATTAACCTGTATTAGGCCTTTAACACGCCACACATTATGCTTGAGTACTACGATTTGAGAGTCATCAGGGTGCAGTGAATGCAGCTCCTGTCTCACAGACTCAATACTTGCATTGTGCTCGGCTGAGAGCCGAATGGACACTACTTCCCCTGTTGACTTGACTAGTTTTCCCAAAACGGCACGGGAATCACCAAGGTTGGCAATATATAGAGTTCCGCCACAAATGACGCCAACAAGGCAGCACGAGCCAACTGCTGCTATCTGTGGTTTCATGGACCATTGTCTGCTGACAAGTGAGAAAAAACCATCTTCCGTTGCTTGAAATGCCTTCCTTATCACATCCACTGACATAGATTGATGCTCTGAAGTGAACCCTGCACAATCAGAAAATTAGCAATTGAACACAAGACCCTGTAGTTATTGGAAATTAATCTACAGGGCAAAAAGTTAACAAGCACGAGACTTCATAATTTGAAATATACAAATCAAAGAATGTTAGCAGACTAAAAACTTGTTTCTATCATACTTTGTACTTCAGAATTGTAAAATGTCTTAGGAATCATCTAAAACTGCCATAATTATAGTTTCCATAACAATGGAATTGATAGAACTTACTCTTGAGATGTCGGAAGAGGTGCTCGTTGATGAACAGAGACGTCTCGGGACCGCCATGTCCATCGTAAATCCCAACAAAAGTACCATATGGCCCAGAATCATGAGAGCTCAAACAACCAGATTCAAGTTGGCTCTGATCTTCAAGTAAATTATTAGCTTGAACTACAGCCATTGAATACTCTCCATTAGAATGATGCCCTGTGTCCTTATACCAAAGAAGCCCATCTTGACGGCCACTGGCGTCTGAACCCTTGTGAACATATGGATCTGCCTTTGGCCGAAAACAGGCACTCAAAAGGTTCATTAACCCAGATAACATACCTCATCTCATTAAAACCACCTTCCAAATTATCCACATCTAGTAAGGACTCAAGATAACTCTGGCCCGAATAAAACCTTAGTTGATATTTTTACAAATATCTCCTCCAGAAACAGTAATTGTTTGCACTATGCACTCAAAGTCTAGAATAACATCAAGAATAAACGCAAAAGCAACAAATATTAGAACTTGTATGGCAGAAACCCAACAAATTAAGTGAAGTAATAATTTTGATTTCAGCTATGAATTCTATAAAAATAAAGAGACAAGGTTATTGAATGCGAAACGGATATTATGTTTCATATGGGAACAAAACATCCATGACACCATCCCGCCGCAAAAAAAATGAGAAAATTCAGCAACGACGAAAAGGGGAGGAGGGACTTTGAAAACAGAAGTGGTCAAAATACACTTTTTTCTTTAGGCGCAGCCAATTCAAATTCCAGAAAGTCCAACTCTCAGAAAAGGGATGAAAACGAATAATAAATATAGCAAAAGAAAAATCAAAATTCCTGAAGGAGTGATATCCCAAAAAACTCTGGTCACGGTAATTTAGCATTATGCAGATAACTTCAAACTTTTACCTCATGAGCTGAGATGAAGATCTGAAGTCTAAACGGATTTAGATCTGTGGATCCATCAAGATGAACATAAAATCAAAGTAGGCATCAATATATTTCTTTCCCTACATTCACTAACAGTCTTCAGATGATATAGATGATGAGTAACAGAAGAAGAAAAACAAAAACACACAGAAGTGGAAAAGAATTATAGACAGAGAGAGTGGTATGGTTTATTTGATTGGGCAAACTGAAACTGGTCTCTCTCAGCAGACAAACCCCATTAAAAACCAACAATGGAGAGCATGAATCCAGCAAAGCCGAGGACCAGTTTGGGCTCCACACATTTCAGATGGAGAAAATCTTGACAGAGAAACTAACAGAGAGAAAATCAAAAATGAAAATATTGAGAGAGAACCGCAAATCGGGAGTCAATGAAGTGGGATAAAGATAGAGTGAACACGTTTTCATGGTTTTTCTATGTAAGTCGACTCTTTTGGTGACACGTGGAGTTCAAATATATATATATCTTTTTAAATATTATTAATTATTTTTCAAAATTACTAATAAAAGTCTTAAGGAAAATTGCACCAGTACTCACCAAACTATTGCTTAAATAGAAGTTGGTCAACAATCTTTCGTGTACCTGAATCTTTATAAATAAATAAAAAAGCCGCCATCGCGTATCTAATTTTATGAATTAGGTTTTGCTTCTCAACTTTGATTGTTATCTTGAAATTTGAAATAATATTTGTCTTCACGAATCAAACGACGATTTAACGAGAATTCTGATGTCATATCATGACTTTTCAAGACATTATTGTTCAGTTATAACGAAATGTTGTCAACTTGTTGTTGAGCCAGCATTCTAATGGCAATTTTGTAATTTTTCAATAATTCTTTACTCTTTGATTTTCATAATTTCCTCGAGGCTAAAATTGCTTGAGTTAGGAACCTATTTGGGAGGAATTTTTTACTCCAAAAAATTGACTTTGTGACCGTTATTTCACTATTTCAGTCGTAATTTTTGACTTCTTCTTTCACAGGTAGACCTCACTTTTCTTCTAACGGTCAAAAAATCAATTCTCAAAATCTTTCACAAATGGAGCCTAGATCAAGTTTGACCTAAAATAAATTAGTTATTATTGTTACACACAATGCTCATAAGTTATAGTGACAAATTATCAATGATATTTTAAATAATTATCAATACTCTGAAAATAAATTCACTTGACTATTTGAAAAGAGAGTTTCAAAATATAATTCTAAATCATTTCATGAGTATCTAATTAATAATATACAAAGTCTAATTAAAAGAAGGGAAGAGGAAATATATGATAATGTTGTTTAATCTTTGTCTAGAAATAACATATTATTTTAATTCATTTGCACATGGCAGCATAGCATGTCAACTCTATAGAAATTGAACCATGCTATTTGTACAAACTAGGTCGATAAACTTGGTTTATAAATTATGTATCGACAATATCTATGTCAATCATTTCAAAAACAGTTTTTGAAATAAATTGAAATCAATGGCTAGATTTTTGTCAAGACTTTGTTTTTAAACAAACTTCGTAAAATTATAATTTACAAAAATGAGGGGGGAATTTGCGATTGGAAAGAGAAAATCCCATCTAAGATGTACAAGACGTAAAGTTACGTTGCATTGCATATAAGACAAAAATTTGAAATATCTATCTTCTTGTATTCCAATCAAATTCACTGCCGAAACGGAATGGTCAATAGAGGAAATTAATAAAAATTGAGATATACTGATTTTACTAATAACAATAATAAGGGGGACACGGGGTAATTTTTGAAAGAATAATACTATTTGCAATCTCTCACTATTGCAGTCGTCCTACGTAACATACATGTGACAGTTAATAATTTGTTATATAAAGTAATAAAAAACTATCACATTAATGTATCAAATTACTAGGCGACATGTGCATTCCACATAAGACGACTATGATAGTAAACGACAGCAAATAACATTATTCTTTTAAGGATACAATAAAATGGAATTAATTGTTTCAACACTTACTAAATCTAGGCCCAAATTTTTTATTGGTCACTAAAGTTTAAAATATCGAGTTTGATCATTGAATTTAGATCCATGTTTTTTATTGCTCAATGAAATTTAAAATGTCAAGTTTTGATTATTGAACTTTGGAAAATGCAGTATGTTGTCACTAGCATAATTGCTAAACTTTGAAAGTTATCGAGTTTACAGCGAGTAATGTATAATAATTTTCAAATTTCAATGATCAAAACTCAACATTTTAAATTTTAGTGAGCATTCGAAGATATTGACCTAAGTTCAGTGACCAATATTTGACATTTTAAATTTCAATGACTAATTAAAGATATGAACCTATGTTTAATAACCATTGAAGCAATTAACTCCAATAAAATGTTTGAATTCAAAAATCAACGGTCCGCACTCCAGCTTAATCTGTGTGGGCCCCAGCCGACGCCTGACTTTTCCTAATTAACCTTTGAACGTTTGCAATTTCAGTTAATGCATTAAGATTGTACTTTTGCCATTTTTGCAATTAGGTAGTGCCGAAATGGTTGATGTAGAATTTTTTGATAATAAATTTTTAAGAATATATACTAAACAAGGGAATAATAAGAATCAAATTGAATTAGGTGTCAATAAAAATTCTATACGCGAAATCAAACAAGTCTATGCATAGTGATGGAACTGATACGATATGATTCTTTCGACGTAGTATAAAAAATTTTCAAGAGTAAATTGTTATCTACTTTTGTGATCTCCCTTTCATTTTATTTATTCATGCAATGAAAAATATTAATTAAGAAAAATTACAAAATGCATCATGCATTTGAGCTCATGTTTGATGATCATTATTTGGGAAAATAATATTTTGAATAGTAATTTTTAAGAGAATATGTAGTTAAAAATAGGAAAAATTTTGGATTTATGTGCAGAATATTTTATCATGTGAATGTGTGATTAAAAATGAATATATTTCAAATAATGGTTGTCAAATAGAGACTTAGCGAGAATTTGTAAACCATATTTTGAAAAATAATATATTTCATATTGAATTTTATTTATTGATAAAAAGAAACCACATTTTTTCTGAAATAAATAGAACTATTTACAATTTTTTCGTTATAAATGGTTAAACCGACCAAAATACACCTAAATAAAGAAAACACATTACACCTTATATTTTATATTACTTAACACCTTATATACCATTTATTATTCTTCAAAATTATAATTTCCATTACTCTTTCATCTAAAAAAATTAACCTTGCTTAAAATTAATTCAAAGTATTTTTCAACTTTATCTTGAAATTTATAATTTCATTTTTATTTTATCAACGACATTTATTTTTTACTTTCGATCTTAAAGTTTCTCGTCAAAATATAATAGTTTATGATCTCTTGAAAATTTAATAGATAAGAAATTCTGTTTAAGATGTAGAATAATTAAATAATATCATGTATTATATTATTTACTTTTTCTAAAAAAATTATTCATTAAACATAACTTATTTACTAAATGATGACAACTTATAATTACTATTTATCCATTAATAATGTTGGAAATATTTTAAATGAAATTTCGGCTATGTTTTCCAACGTATTATTAATTCATTAAAAAATTATATTTTTTTCAAGTTGTAATTTAAAGACACTGAAGATGATAAATTTTGTAACTTCACAGTAAAAGACCATCTTATAAGGAATAACCGTTTAATAAAATAACAAAATTTTAAAGAATAACGAAATATTTAAATAAATGGTATTATAGTGTTACATAAATTAAAATATGATTTTTAATGATAGATTTTTAAACATTTCTATTTTTTTGTTCAATATATATATATTTTTTCACAAATAAGTAAAATACCCTAAAAGCAAATAGTATCCATTAATTATTTTGAATAGGTATCAATTCGCGTCGGTTCATACAAATCGACTTTCAAAGATCATAAAAATGTATAAATTGAAACCAAATTTAAACTTAGTTATGTAAGTAGAATCAAAATTCAAATAAAAATTTGTCCAAATCTCAATTTTGAAAGTCGAAATCAACTAATTTTATCTAGTTCGAGTTCGATTAACGCGAGTTCTAAAAATATCTCCCCAAAATCTAAGCAAAATATATCCTCAAATTCTAAATATACAATAGTAAGTCATAAAATTATATATATTCACTTTATAAAAATCTTGACTACAAATCACATAGTGGGTATATACAGATGAATACTTCACCAAGAAGAAATGTAAATTAAGCTATAAATAGAAATAAGAAAAAAGCATCTATACAAGTTGTAATGAAAAGTGAGAAAATGAAAGAGTATAATTGAATGGACCTTTAACAAGAAATAAAGAAAAGGAACAAAAAGTTCGTTAAATATCTTATCTATCTTAAATTACGTCTAATTTTCTTCTCTAATCAATGATATGACATTTGCGATTTATGAGCTTTCAACCAAAAGATAGAGTTTGATTTGTTTACAATTGACATATTATACATATACGTATACGTATATGTGAAGCTACACTTATTAGGTGGAAGATTTATATTTATGGAACAAAATTCACAAAAATATTTTTTAATTGTCCACATAAACTATTTGAGAGGAAGACCAGATCGAGTTAATTTTGAACGTGGCTAGAGAAACCTAATTATTAATATATTGTAGAAGTGTAGATAACAAAATGTATAGAACAAAAGAAAAGGCAGATATCAGCCCATAAAATTGGCAATTAAGACTAGGTAGCATTTGATATGAGTAGTCTTTTTCATTTTTTTTTCATTTTTTTTGTTTCCCGGTTTGATTTGAAAGAAGGGTTTCGGTACCGTGTAGCACAAGAAATGATTGACGTACAAATTTTATTTTTACAAAATGTGTATAGAAATCTTATAAAGGGGTAGATCCCACATGAATAAATAATGTCAAAAAATTAACCCACTCCCTTCCCCCCAACCCTCTATGTGAGGTGTCGATAGCACTGTACACCAATTATCTCTCGTGTAGCATTTGTTAATTGCCCATTAGCATTATTTGCACGCCATTTTTTTAAAAATGCATTTTTTAAAATTCATTTTTAATTACTTATTTTTTCATAAAATAAAATTATACATAAACTCAAAACTCTTATTTTTTTAATCACATATTTTTCAAAAAATCACTATTTCAAAACATATTTTCTCCAAAAATCGACCCCAAACATGGGCTAGTAAATAATACTGAAGAAAAAGGAACTAATCGGATAGCTTGGAGACAAGATACATCTCAGGGCAAATTCTAACAAATCATAGCGTTCCTAGACAAATATCATAAAAACACAAAATATCAATAAACTATGGAAATGGGAACTCAATAATGATTTTCAATACAATAATAAAAATATAAAATCATAAAAATGATTAAATACCCTCATTA